TTCCCCTTCATTTCTAGATGTACTTCCAACTGTCGTGCTGACGAAGTCCAAATTGCCCGGCGCTAAGCGAAAACGTTAATAGTGGACTATGACTCACTGATCTCTTTTTTTTTTTGCTTTGACGACTCCCTTGGTTCATTTTTCTTCGTGCCCCTTTGTTTTTTATGTTTTTTTTATGCAACGGTTTCTTTGGATTATGATTTTTTTTGGATAAGTTTTTTTTGTTGAGTTTTTGTTTTCGTTGAACCTAATCATAATCCAAAAAGCTAGTTGAGTTTTCCGATAATTATGGGGGTTTTTTGTGCACAGCTAATAATCAACGTTACCGTTGGTTCTGGTAACTTTTCCAGTTGCTTCGACCAATACCACATTGTCTGGTGGTGATTCCGTTAGCGACTCCAACATTCGTTTCTTCTGAAGGGATTTTCAACTTGACAATTCTCCTGATAGAAGCACTAGGCAAGGCTGTAGCCGTTGCGAGATGGCGAAATGGGGCATGGCACTGATGATTCTCACCCCATTTCGAACCGATTCTGTCTTTCTATGTTTACAGCTTAGGGATGGAACACAGACAGGTTACCAGGTCACTGCACATACAGGCTTGCTTATTTGGCAGATCTAAATGGCACTCCCAGTTTTTCATTAATTATCAAAATTCGATTATGTTCCTCCCCACGGTGGGCCAACAATGCCAAACAAACCGCATATGTTATCACATGAAAGATTTCAGGCCCCCGTCCTCTTCCAATCTCCTAGTCACTGATATTCATTGTTTGTATCTTTAAAATTTCTGAAACAGTTAGTATCTCAGTTAGTATCCCAAGCAGTTAGTATCCCAAGCATTCCCACTCCTACGTCTATGAAGTAATTTCATGTATCCTGATTTTTCTGCTTTTTGAGTTTTTCTTTCTTTTTAGCTGGACGCCCGGTTCGTGTGTACGCTGATGGCATATATGACTTGTTCCATTATGGGCATGCGAATCAACTGCGACAAGCAAAGAATGCTTTTCCGAACGTTTATCTGATCGTTGGAGGTATAAATGACGGAGATTTTTGACCATTGATGCGAAACATTCTTTGGTACTTACCTCAGGTCTCAGGAAATAATTTTTTTTTAATTTTTACCAGCTATTGAAGGATAAAGAGAAAATGATGAAGTAGAAAAAATGGAGAAGGGGAAAAAAACGAAGTAAAAAAAAAAACGAAATGGAAAAGGGAAATGGGGGTATGGAAATATTTGTAATAGAAATGTTCCGGTCCATTAAGCCGTATACATTTCTTGTCGTTACCACAATTGGACCTCGTCAGTACGACGATTGTATATTTTGTGCAAATGAAACAGTTGGCAGATATTAGCAAAGGATGAAGACAACGTCAACTCTAGCTGCATTACGCTGCTCTGTGCGATGTGCTCAAAGCGAAGCCATCAGCATCCCTGTAAGGGAAGTTGGGAAAGCGAAGGGGGAGAGGAGAGGGGAAAGAGGGAGGCAGAGGAGGAGGGGGTACTTCTGAACTTAGTTGTCTTCAACACGTTTTTAAAATTCACATGTTTATTTTACAAGCAAATTTTAGTTTGTGGTGATGCAAATACACTGAAATATAAGGGTCGTACTGTAACATCGGAGGATGAAAGATACGAAAGTGTGCGTCACTGTCGTTATGTGGATGAAGTGTACAAGGATGCTCCGTGGTATTGCACAGTTGAATTTCTCAAAGAACTGAAGGTATTCGTGGCAGCATGTACTGTTTTTGCACCTCATTTCCCTGAAGCTACTTTTTTTTTGTCATTTATGAACCATGAGTATTCTTCGTAAGATTGCGTCGTTTTACATACACACTGCGGTTTATTACTAGTTAGTACCAGCAATAACCCGAAACTCAGGCCCGCAGTTGGATTACATTATTTCTACAAAGTACCAGTAAAAAAGAACAGCTGGTGAGCATAGCGCTACTTTTATATTAAAGGTCGAGAGTTCAACCCCGTTAGGAAAACCAAGAAAAAAGTCGACAAAGAAGCCGGTACAAAAACTTTAACATATACTGTCAGTGAGGAAAAAACCAAGAAAGATGCTCTGAAAGGCATATAGTTAGGTGAGAGAAGTGTCGCGGAAACGCCGCGAAAAGCGGGCCAAGAAAACGCTACAAAGAAAAAAGGAAGGTGTACTTTGCCCCGGAAAGCAGATACACAGTAGATGTGCTGCCAGTCTGAACATGGAGCGAAAGGACCGGTGGTGTAGTGGTAACACATTGCGTCCGGACGTAAAGAGGAATGGTTCGATTCCTTCCCAGTCCAAAACAATTTTTGGAGAAAAGGCTTCGTTCGCGACAAGAAGGGGAAAAAGTTCAAAGTGCTATGCCGCTATACTCCCTCTGTTTTTCAGGTTGATTTCATCGCGCACGATGCTTTGCCATATATTGCACCT